TCTAACTATTGACAATAGGTGCATTGACAGTTGTGATATTATTATTCTATACCATTATTTTCAATGTAACAATACAAAGTATATAACTTATTATTATTATTATTATGTTGTAGTGTGCTTTGTGTAGAGGCCATAAAAGACTGGTTTCCCCACAGCCTACGTCCTACGTATTTCTTTCACTACTGTTGTGTGATCATGTGCGAAGCAAATACTACTACTATTCAATCGTATGTTTATTTGTCCACATTATACTAGTAGACCTATTATTACCTGCCTCCTAAATGATCTATACAGTGTCGGTTGGGGCGTAAAACTTCTACAAAAAACAGAAAAAAAGAGAAATCAAATAGGTCTATTATTAGAAAGCTATTTTTTTAAGTACATTAAAACAGTTTAGTTTTGTGTTCTTGGTATTTCAGTAGTGCTACTAAGCTGGGTTGGTGGTGGGTTGTTTGTCTTGTAATTTATTTGGGCAAGGTAACAGTTTAAAAAACGTTCTTTTTATGCTTCGAATTTTTCGACTCGAGGAAGAAATTAATGCAGTCGATTTAAATGACTTGACATTGTATACATCTTCTTTGACTATACACACAATTAACTATCGCCAGTGCCAGTATTTCTTTCAAATATATACATGTAGTACGGGGGAATTCCACACCATACTTTTCTTCAATAGGATTGTGAGACAAGTGTTGTAGAAGCTACTTTATGTAGAAAGAGGACACATCCCCACAGCAGTTTTACTTTGGGTCTGAGAAGTTAGGAAACCAAACATAATATTATGAATTCTACGATACCACCACCCCCATAGATTGTACTTCCATTTTCAACTGAATTTAAAATTTAATATTGCGGGGCAATTCCAGACCCATATGAGCACAATTGAAAAATAAAACAGGGGCAGACGGAAGCAAATGATTAGAGCTGAATGTCAAACAGATTTCTGTTGGTTCTAAGGGCTGTAAGTGGGGGTGTAGAATTACCCCGGGTGTGGAATTACCCCCACCTTCCCATACCGGGGAGTGTAGATAATGCATTGATCTGTGTTGAAAAGGCGGAGATCTGAGGAGAATCCTCTCGGAATATTTTTTAAAGGGTCAACTTTGCTCATTTCTAAGGTACGAAAAAGCAATCTGAACCCAAAGACAATTCACTTTTTGTTTGTATTACATGCATCAAGTATCTGAGGGTAAAGTGATTTATTAACGTGTACATTATTGTGTATTTGGATTTGTGTGTGAGCTGAGAACATTATATTTGTTTTGTGTATGTGTGTTTGGGTGTATGTGTGTGTGTGTGTGTGTGTGTGTGAGTGTGAGTGTGTATGTGTGTGAGTGTAGGTATGTGTGTTTTGTGTGTGTGTGTGTGTGT